TTTGAATGACTGACCCAACGGCCACGCCACGACTCAGGGGCAGCAGGGACTCGAGCCCGAACCGACTGCGTAGGTCGGTCGCCATGGGCGGCACCTGAGGCCGTCACCTCCTGCTGAGAACCAGCCCATTTCATCCCCGCTCTAGAAGTTATTACTTGGTGTTACGTCAGGGTATCATACTGTGTTCTGTCCGCCACCTCAAAGCCCCGTACTCTGCCACCTCAGCGTGGACCGCGCCCGGCATGGCCGCGGCATCCAATAAGATCCTTAGGCGCTCCAGGAGTCTGCAGCTGAGCCAATGGGAACCGCGAAAAGGAACCGGGGGCGGAACCTGGACACTGGGGTGAGAACCACACCCACCTTGGAAGTGACTACTGCTGGTCGGATTTAGCCAGAGGCACCTCACTGACCTGCAAGTTTACCCAGCGTGCCTGCTTCCTCTCTTTCCTCTTCTCTCCTTCCCTTCCTTCCTTTTTGAGGCCGTAACTCTTTAAAAGAACACTGAGCAACAAATGTTTTAATCTAACAGCCCAGTAAGGTAGGTACTATTATGGCCACTTCACAGTTGAGAAAACCGAGGCTTAGAGTGACAAAAACACTTTGGCCAAGATCAGAGAATTAGGAAGTTATAAGAAGGAACCTGGAAGCAAAGGCCTTGGCTCCTACCTTTACGTAGAACACGCAGATACAAATACCCACATACTGGGAGGTGAGGCACTTATAACGACTTCTGGAACCCTACCACATGCTAGGCAGAGGAAGGAAATGGAGTCCTGGAGGAACTTTACATTCCAGCTGGGGAGACATGCATATAGCCAATAACAATGCAAGGTAGAAAAGCAGCAAGGGCCAGGAGTACATCCATTTATTCATTCAATAAATACCCTGCTAGCTATCATTCACACTCAGATCCCTAGATGGAATTCAGACAAATAATTTGGGCAGGGAGTATGTAACATTTATTAACCTTACTTTTACATAAAAGTGAATAACATGCAAATAACTGATTTTTTTGGAAAAGCAATTTTCAGGTATGCCTTAAATAACGGAAAGGACATCTAATTAGGAGACTATTACAACAATGAAGGGAAAAGAGTTAATCAAAATAATAAAGAGGAACTAGCTTTCTGTATTACTCAGGTAATTGAGTACAGGGAATGGAAATGTGGGAGGAGTCCCAGATAACCTCCAGTTTGGGGAATAAGGGGATAAGGGTGCTAATGACAGAAACGGGGAACACGGAACCTGGAAAGTGAAAACATGGCATAAAGGATCATCTCCCTAAGGAATGTGTCACCAGGAGCTTTGGAATCAGGAAGACCTGGATTAGGTGTCACTGAAACAGACCACTAAAGACAGAAGGTTCAAAGAAGGTATGTAAAATACAAGACTATACTTTCAGGGATCATCTCTATAGTT